TGAGAAACTACTGCTAGCCACGCAGTCCCGTCGGCGCTCAGGTTTTTAAAGTTGAAGCACTTTTTGAAGGTTTTATTTTAGGTCTTGTTCATAAAGAAACACATTTTTTTCCAAAACAGTCTTTTTTATTTGCTGTTTCTAAAAAATATATATATATTTTTTTAACTGCAACATTTTTAGAAATGTATTTGTTCACATGAAAACAACCAAAACTCTGTAGTTACTACAACAGACCTGTAAGTGGCGCTGTAATGCTGCCACAAAAATACACCCAAAAAAACAGGAAACAAGGCACGGAGCATGTGCATTAACATTGCACTCAGGGTGCAAGATGTAAACGCAAGATGAAGAGGACGCCCTTGGTTTCTAGGTTATAAGGGAAGGGGATATGACAGTCATATTTAAAATGTTGCCTTTATGCTGTCTACACAAAAATGCAAGGGTGCTGTTTGAATTTATTTTTCACACTGGATGCTGAATTTAAAAAAACAAAACAACGAACGGCTCATCAGCTTGTTCAAATCCTACTAACAGAAACAGAAACGTGTGATAATTAAGTGTGTCTCCTTTTATTGTAGAAGGTCGTTTTATTTCCTAAAGTTTATTTTTACAAGCCATAAACAAAGAAGAAGATGTGCTCATTTAAATTGTCAATTTGTGCGATACATGGTCAAAATGATGTTCTGCTTGCAGGAGATTTTCGCTGCTGAATGTAGCAAAATTGTAAGTGACAACTGGAAAATGTTGTCAGCAAGACTAAGTGACAGCTCTCTTTCCTAAAGCATCACTGATCCTGCTTTAGAGTTCAGTGGACAATAAAGACATATAGACTCATTTTAGATCACTTAAGGCTATGAAGGCTAACTGGTTTGTTTTGCCAATCATTTTGTAAATGATGTTTACAGTTTATTTAGGACTCTTTCCGTTCATACAGGTCATGGTGGAAAATACAAATGTGTCCACTTTTTTTTTTTTTCCTATGAAAGGATTTATAAACAACTTTTTGCCTTTGGTGTTGTACATAATAATTTATGCTGCAAAATCAATATGCTTTTTCTCCACTATTGTATGAAACACTGTAATTTTCTACCCACTTACTGAGATTTGTGTTAGTATACAAGCTCAAACATGCTGGTGTTAGTTTCAGATAAAGAATTCATATCAGGATTATGAGAGAAATCTTATTCCTGCTATAGATGACAAACAATTGCTGAACCAGAAGGTCTTATGTCAGCACTGTAGCAACAGTAGACAGGAGTGGACAAGGATCAGAAGTCGGTTGCAATCCAGATAAAAAATCCTTTTCAGAAAGTAACTGTGATATAGTTGATGAACCATGTTAAACTACAATGACCTGCAGTCAATTGTTCTCTGGACCCTGTGCAGAGTAGAAGATATAATCTTGTAGCAAAGATAAATAAGATGATGCATTGTGACATGAGCTTTAGTGTCAATCGACAGGAGTTGTCAATCAGGGAAAATCATTGACCATAAACTGACATCACATCCTGACAGAGTTACTGAAACATGTTATTTATGGTCCTAGTTTACCTCCTGTGCAAAAATGCCTTCTGGGAATGACAGAGAGCAGGGCTGGCTCTTCTCAGATTCTGATTTGTTTCCAACCAGGGTGGATAGTGCTGCAGAGAACACTCACAAACTAACATGGAGTGTGAAATTTTAGGCTGCAATGACCAAAAAAGGAAGTAAGGAAGTAAGGTCTGTTTTAGTACCAACTGCACTCTTGTTTTCTTTAAAGAGATATACAAAGTATATTTTTCTCAATTTAAATAATAATAACAATAATAATAATAAAGGGAGAAAATAACAAAAATAAAAATATCCATCCATCCAATATCTTATGCTTGTTCCGACGTCGGGTCGCAGGGGGCAGAAGCTTGAGAAGGGAGGCCCAGACATCTCTTTCCACAGCCACCTCTTCCAGCTCTTCTGGGAAGATTCCAAGGTCTCTTCAGCATGCCCTGGGTCTTGCCTGTGGTCTCCTCCTACTCAGACATGCCTGAAGCACCTCCCTAGGGAGGCTCCCAGGGAGCATTATTGCCAGACGCCCAAACCACTTCAACTGGCGCCTCTCAATAATGTGAAGGAGCGGTGTTTCTACTCCGAGTCTCTCCAGGATAACTGAACATCTCACTCTATCTCTAAGGGAGCGTCCAGCTACCCTGTGGAGGAAACTCTTTTCAACCACCTTTATCTGCGGTGTTGTTCTTTTTGGTCACTATCCAGAGTTTGTGGCCATAGGTTAGGGTAGGAACATAAACCAACCAGTAACAGGAAGTTTTGCCTTACAGCTGAGCTCTCTCTTTACCACAACAGACCAGCACAGAGTCTGTAATACTTCAGATGCTGCACCAATCCATCTGTCAACGTCACGCTCCATTCTTCTCTCACTCGTGACCTAAACCCCAATACTTGAACTCCTCCAGTTGAGGCAGAATCTTGCCCCCAACCTGAATACAGCAAGTCACCCTTTTCCGACTGAAGACCATGACCTCAGATTTGGAGGTGCTGATTCTCATCCCAGCTGCTTCACACTTGGCTGCGAACTGCTCCAGTGAGAGTTGAAGATCATGACACGATGACACCAAAAAGACCACATCATCTGCAAATAGCAGAGACCGAAGCATGAGGCCACTTAACTGGACTCCCTCCGCACCCTGGCTGCAGCAAGAAATTATATCCACAAAAAAACGAAGTCCAGATGACATGATTCAACCTTTTTTGTTGTTATATACCTGGATGACTGAGAAAACAAACTTTGTGTTTTTGAAACCATTAGTGAAAAGGCCAGACTTCAGGGGTATCTGAGGCAGGCTTGGAACACAAGAGTCAGGGTGGCTTCTGGGTAATACCAGATGGCTAGGCCTCAGACCGACGAAGCCTCTTGGATGAGGGGCGAAACGTTTCTTTTTAACAAAAAAACGAAGTCCAGATGACATGATTCAACCTTTTTTGTTGTTATATACCTGGATGACTGAGAAAACAAACTTTGTATATCCACAAATGTTATGAACAGAATCGGTAACAACAGGCAACCCTGCCAGAATCCAACTCCCACCCTGAACGGGTCCGACTTACTGCTGGCAAAGTGAATCGTACTACTCTTGCACTGCTAGTATAGGGACCAAATAGCCTATAGCAACAGGCCTCCAATCACATACTCGTGGAGCACCCTCCACAGTGTGCCCTGAGGAACATAGTCAAATGCCTTCTCCAAGTCCACAAAACACATGCAGACTGGATGAGCAAACTCCCCTGTCCCCTCGATGACCCCAGTGAAGGTAAAGAGCTAGTCTAGTGTTCCTCAGCCAGGACAGAACCCAGATTGTTCCTCTTGGATCTGAGGTTTGACCACTGATTGGATGCACTTCTCCAGTACCCCTGAATAGACCTTACCAGAAAGGCTAAGGAGAGTGATGCCCCTATAATTGGAGCACACCATCCAGTCCCCCTTTTTGAAGAAGGGAACCACCACCCCAGTCTGCTAATCCAGTGGCACTGCCACCCTTGTGGTATTGCAAAAGCATGTCAACCAAGACAGCCCCACAACATCCAAAGCTTTAAGGAAATCAGGGTAGATCTCATTCACTCTCAGAGCTCTGCCGTGGTTATGGACAGACCAACCCCAAAGTCCCCCAACTTAGCTTCCTCCATGGAAGATGTGCCAGTGGGATTGAGAAGGCTCAAGTATTGATTCCACCTTCCGACAACATCACTGGTTGAGGTCAACAGCATCCCACCTTCACTGAATACAGTGTTAGTAAAGTGCTGTTTTCACCTCCTCAGTTGTCTGATGGTTTGCCCGAATCTCTTCAGAGCTGACTGAGAGTCTGTATCTATCTAGTCTATATCTATATCTATTTCAGGTCTCTCGTAAATGAGTCCCCGAGACTCAATGGGATTAACCTGTATAAATAAAGGTTGAATGAATATCCAAAGCTTCACCGAACTCTTCACACAGCCAAGCTTTTTTCTCAGCAACAGGGAAGGCTGCGGACCAGTTGGCCCTCTGGTACTCCTCAGCTGCCTCCAGACTCCCTTCAGCCAACAAGGCCTGATAGTACTCCTTAAGTAAGTTAGACTCACTAGTCTGAGACTAGTGAGGGGTTTGTGAGACTAACCCTGGGCTAGAGAGGCTTGATAGCCTCAATAACCCAGGGTGTCCACCACCGAGTTCAAGGATAGCCACCGTGAGAAGCACCGACAACCTTGCAGCCACAGTTCAGGGCAGCCACCACAACAACTGAGGCATGGAATATGGCCCACTCTCACTCAATGTCCCTGGCTGGCCTCAGATGAGATGTGGTTAAAGTTCTTCCAGAGGTGTGAGTTGAAGATCATTCTGACGGGTTATTTTATCAGGTGTTCCCAGCAAACTCTCACTACACATTTGGGTCTACCACATCTGTCCAGAATATTTCCTCACCATCTGATACAACTCACTACCAGATAGTGATCAGTTGTCAGCTCAGCTCCACTTTTCACCAGAGTGTTCAAAACAAATGGCCGCAAATTAGATGACACGACTCCAAAGTCAATCATCAATCTATAACCTAGGGTGTCCTGGTTCTAAGTGCATTTATGTACACTATTATATTCGAACATGGTGTTTGTGGTGGGCAAACCATAACTAGTGCAGAAGTCCAACAACAGAACACACTTGGGTTCAGATCAGAGAGGCCATTCCTCCCTACCAAGCCCCTCCAGGTCACACTGTCATTGCCCACATGGGCATTGAAGTCCCCCTTTACTCCTTTAAGGAGTTCCCAGTTGGCACCCCTTCCAGCACCCTGTTAAGGACTCTAAGAAGGACAGATACTCTAAACTTCCATTTGGTGTGTAGGCAAAAACAATTGTCAGAGTCCGTCTCCCACATGAAGGCACAGGAATGCTACCCTCTCAATTGAAGAAAACTCCAACCTACAGGCACCAAGTCAGTGGTCTAAGAGTAGACTAATACTAGCTCAGCACCTCTCACTATGGGTAAGTCCAGAGTCCTGCCCCTCTCAAAGAAATTGTTCTGGAGTCCATGCTGTTTGTCGAGGTGAACCCAGCTATATCTAGTCAGTACCTCTCAACCTAACGCACAAGCTCAGGCTCCTTTCCCACCAGAAAGGTTACATTCTATGTCCCAAGAGCCAGTTTTGGTAAGCCAGGTTCAGAGCACCTAGGTTTCCACCTTTGGCCACTGCCCATGGAGTCATGCACCTGACTCATATCCCCCTCTGAAGATGGTGGGCCCACAGGAAGGCAAACCTATGTTGCTTGTTCTGGCTGAGCTTGACCGGGCCCCATGGGTAGAGACTCGGTCACCAGGCACTTGCCAACAAGCCCCTTCCCCAGGCTTGGCTCCAGAGTGGGGCCCTGGTAACCCACGTCTGGGCAAGGGACACTGAGCTTCTTGTTTTTATCTGTCCATACGAGTTTTTGAAAAATAAAAATACTAAATCATTTATTTTGCACTACAAGGTGACAATAGTGTTGCTACTACACTAGAATGATAGAAATTTCTGAGCATGGCCATGTCCTTCTGTAGCAAAACAGTTTTTCTGAAGATACTTTTTTTTTTGTTTGTTTCAGTCTTGCGTCCACACCCATATATCATTTTTAGAACCCAAAATGATGTTTTAGAAAATCTGCATTCATAGGAGAAAAATCGTAAAATTACACCCTTATGTTTTTGTGTATAAAGCCAAAATGCAACCTTTTAAAAATGATCATATAATCCCACCTCTAAACTAACCTACAATCTTCTTGTTGCTTTCAATTTTCACCCTGAGTACAAAATGTATGCACACGCTCCAACAATTGTCCATCCATTATCTTTTACCCCCTTCTTCCTTTTTGGGTAGCGGGGGTCGCCGCCCATGTCCAACAATTACTGTGCGAGAGACGGGGTACACACTGGACAGATCGTAAGTCCATCACAGGGCTCCATACATTGTTATCAGTATTTTTTCTTTCTTTTTTTTGTATTCTTATGGCAGTATAATACAAAGTAGCACCACACCGAGGCATGGCACAGTTACTACAGAATTTTGGATTTGTTTTTAATGTGTTTTAGTGTGGATTAAAACATTTCTAGAAACAGTGCCATGTTTGTGAGGATATTTTTTGGAAATTACCCCCCCAAAAAATCTTTATTTGGAACTTCTTAGTGCACCAGGCCCGATTCTCCTTAAATAACTGAAGAAACTTATTTTATCCTTGGCAAAGTTCATTATTTTCTTTTAGTCATTAAATTTTCCAGTGGAGGTAATTGGAACAAAGTCAGGACAAAGTGAGTCTGTTGACAAATAATATGCTCATGCTTATGTTCGGGCTGCTGTTGTTATGCTGGATTGGTTTAGATTATTAGTATTTTGCATATATCTTAGATGTTTTAGTGTACTGTTTGGAATTTGTCTAGCGTATATCTTAGTGTATATTTTAGATCCTTATTTTAGATCCTTATTTTATTGATTCTTTTACACTTTATATGTTGCTATTTTTGGGTGTATCTGGGACCCTGTGTACATGCTGTAATTTTGTTCCACCTCATGTACCACATGTGGTGGAAACAACAATAAAGTTAACTTGAACTTGACTTGAAATGGGTACAAATGGTTGTGGTTTGTAGCTAGACGGAATTACCAAAGTTTTCAAAAATCTCAACTTTCAAAATCGGAATTTTTTTCCTACCAAATACTTTATTTGCATGTGCACGTGCAGCAAAAATTGCCAGTTTTGCAAAATATCTGTTTAACTGTGCAGGGTTTTTGTCCTTTACTGTCACTTATGTCTATAGAAGAGCAGTTGTTCGTATATATATATATATATATATATATATATATCCATCCATCCATTATCTTTACCCGTTTATTCCATTTTGGGTCACGGGGGTCGCTGGTGCCCATGTCCAGCAATCACTGTGCGAGGGGCGGGGTACACCCTGGACGGGTCGCAAGTCCATCACAGGGCCACATAGAGACAAACGAGACGAACAAACATTCACTCTCTCACTCACACCTAGGGACAATTTAGAGTTACCAATCAGCCTAACATGCATGTTTTTGGTCTGTGGGAGGAAACCGGAGCACCCGAAGAAAACCCACGCATGCACGGAGAGAACATGCAAACTCCACCCAGAAAGGCCCCTGGACCGGGGTTTGAAGCAGGGACCTTCTCACTGAGAGGCAGCAGCTCTACCAGTTGCGCCACC